AGTGGATTGCCGGAGCCCCCGGGTTCGAGACCTGCCCGGGCAATATGGTGAGACCTCGTCTCTACGATAAGTCAAAAAAAATTAGCCGATCATGGCAGCGCGCGCCTGTAGTTCCGGCTACTTGGAAGGTTGAGGCGGAAGGATCGCCTGAACCCAGCGGATCGACACTGGGGTGGCCGTGAGTGTGTTACTGCTCTACAGCCTGGGCAACAGAGTGAGACTCCGACTCAAAAAAAATAAAGTAAAATTAAAAAGCACTTCATGGAGCCTGTAATTAGAGTGGGACCCATCAGAGTTAGAGTCTCTCCCTCGTCCTTTAAATGCAAACATCATCTTCAAGTTCAGTTACTTGACAGTGATTACATTGACCTCTTGGGATTGCTGTGAGGATTAAGGGACCAAGGGTATGTCAAGTGCACGAACACGTAGTACAAAGTAGCCAGATAAATAATGCACTCTTGCAGGCCTCCTCGTCACCTGTTGTTAGTTTCCATGAAACGAACAAGGTTTTAAACATCTGTTTAGGTTTTAGAACGTTGAGAGCTGGTTACTTGAAAGCAGAGGAAAAAGGTGCAATAGGAGACGTATCTTGATGGGGTATACACGAAAGTGTGGATGTTTTTGGAAAAGGAACACTTGCTAAATGAAATGGGCCACTCTGTCAGCTCCTGCGGTGGCCTGACGCCCACAAAAGGGGCTTCTGCAGTGCCCAGTGGGTGTCATGAACGATGATGTTAGTTCTGTTAGACTACCTGCCATTTGTGTTTTGGATCATAAGATTTAATAGAGTGTTGAATGTAGCAAATCTGAAAAAGGAACAATATACATTAATGACTGCTGACATTAAGTATTTAGTATGTGTCAGGCATATGTTCTTAGACCCTTACACTATATTTACTCGCTTAATTTTCCCAACAACCCTATGAAGTGTGTGTTCCACATTTAACAGCTGAGAAAATGAAGCACAGATCAGTCCAATAATTTATTCGGGTTATGCAGCTACAAAATGACAAACCCGGGATTTGAACCCAAAGCTGTCTGTGAAATCAAGCATGAATAGATAATTATGTTCAAACCAGGCCCACTGTGTGGCCATAACGAATGCTGCACTGGTGTTTTGTTTTGTTTTTAAATATTAACTGAAAGTGCCTGGTGTGAAAAATGGAAGGCTTGACCCAATCTGAATAGGTAGGATTATTAGAGAAAAGAAAGACCCTTTCTGTTTGTTCTCCATTTACTCTAAAGACAAAATGAGATGGGGGGAAATTTTACTACCAGCAAGAAAATTCATTTAGTTAAAACTTTTTGACAGGGAGCATAATTAAATGCCAAGAGATTTGGGAGTTTCCATATTTTGCTTTTGTATGTTTTAAGGACAGATATGTCTGGAAATGGGAACTGAACAAATAACCTCTGAAATTCCATCTCCAGTTGCTCTAATACAAAGTGAACACTCAAAGTTAAGGCAATCCTAAGCACTTAAAATGTTAGATCCTTTATGTACACATTATGTTTCAATCTTCAAAAGTCTCCTGTGTGATAGGTCACTGGCCTTTCCGTTTTACACAGAAACAAAGAGAAAAGTGGTCTTCGTGGTAGAACTGGGACTTGTATCTGAGTCCCTCTAGCTTTGACGCTCGTGTGCTTTTCCACTGGGCTGAAGTACCACGGGAAACTGCCCTGGAACATTCGATGTAGGTTGTTTCTGTAGCACCATGGTAAAGTGCGTGTATGGATTATAGAATCAAAAGACCTGTGTGCAAATCTTATATCTTCCTTTAATAGATTTGTAACTTGGGGCAAATTATTCAAACTTCTGAGCTCACTTTCCTTGGATGTAAAGATGATAATATCTACTTCAAAGAACTAATGCAATCCTTGAAATGAAGATAGATGACACAGGGAGTATGGAGCCTGGCAAACAGTTGGTGTCCAATAAATGTTAGTTCCCATAGCATGAACTGCACAGGAATACTTAAAATATTCTCACACTGATAAGAGTCTGTTAGAAACTTTGGTTCACTTCAAGAAAGTTAATATCCTTAAATCTGAATTTACAAAACAGATGAATTCGTTAGTGATTGTTTACTTTTAGAAAGTAGTCGTTCCATCTTAATCAGTGTTTTTCCCATTTTAGTGAACATAAGATTCACTGAGGGAGCTTGTTGAGAATGTGTACATTTCTGCATGCCAGCCCCAAAAGGTTTTCTTTCAGTAGGGCGGCTGATTAGCCCAGGTGTTTTCATTTTAACAGGAACACATGCTTCCATCCCAGGTGACTTCAGTGTGGGTACTTCTGCCAACACACAGCTTGCAGTAGAAGATTTCCTGTGTGATCTTTTTTTGTCTTGGAGAATTTCAAACACATACAAAAATAAACAGAAGAGTATGGTGAATTCTATGTTCTCATCAACCTGCTGCAGCAAAGATCAACTCATGGCGAATTCTGCTCTGTTCACCCCTCCTTCCACTTCCTCCCCCACTTTAATGTTGAGACAAATCCCAAGAATCATTTCATCTGTAAATATGTGCTTGTATAATTTCTAAAATGTACGTACTCTTTTTTAATAACATAATATATGTAGTATAATAGAAAAGCGATAGCATGTAAGTAATCCTAAAAATATAAACCATAATATCATTATCACATCCAAAAATAATTCCTTATCAAATATCTAGTCATTGTTCAAATTTCAACTTGTCTCGTAAATGTCACTTTTATTTTTAAGTTTGTGTATTTCAATCAGAATTCAGATAAGACCCACATATTGTGGTTGACCGATCTTTTAAATCACTTAGTCTATATATTTTCCCCCCCACCCCATGTCTCTCTTTTTAGAGCAGAGGTCAGCAAACTTTTTCTGTAAAGGGTCAGATAGTAAATATTGTAGACTTTGTGAATCACATATGATTTCTTTTCTTTTTCTTTTTCCTTTTTTCTGAGTCAAAGTCTCACTCTGTTGCCCAGGCTGGAGTGTGGTGGCATGCTCATGGCCACCCGCATCCTTGACCTGCTAGGTTCAGGCAATCCTCCAGACTCAGCCTTCCAAGTAGTTGAAACTACCAACGTGCACCACCATGCCTGGCTAATGTTTTGATTTATTGTAGAGATGAGGTCTCACCAAGTTTCTTAGCCTGGACTCAAACCCCTGAGCTCAGGCAATCTTCTCATCTCCAACTCCCAAAGTGCTGGGATTACAGTCATGAGGCAGTACACCTGGCACATATGATTTCTGTTACATATTCTTGTTGTCCTTATATACCTTTAAGAATGTAAAGCTGTTTTTAGTTCCTCATGCCTGGTTTTCTGACTCCTAGTCCATAACTGTGCTGTCCAGTGGGGCCACCACTAGCCATAGTGGCTGTTTAAATTAAGATCTCATGCCGGGCTCGGTGGCTCAGCCTGTAATCCCGCGCCTTTGGGAGGCTGAGGTGAGTGGATTGCCTGAGCCCGCGGGTTCAAGCCTGCCTGGGCAACTTGGCGAGACCTCATCTCTACAATAAATCAAAAATTAGCTGGTGTGGTAGCGCGCATCTGTAGTTCTAGCTACTTGGAAGACTGAGGCGGAAGGATCACCGGAGCCAAGCAGGTCGAGGCTGTGGTGGCAGGGAGCGGCCACTGTACTCCAGACTGGGCGACAGAGTGAGACTCCAACTCAAAAAAAAAAAAAAAGATTTCTTAAAATAAGAATTCAGTTTTCTCAGTCACATTTCAAGTGCTCAGAAGCCACATGTGCGGGTCCAGCACAGGTTGTAGGACATTTCCATCACCACAGAAATTTGTTGGACAGCACTGGTCGAGTCCCCTTGGTTGATATTTTGCCAGTTGCATCTCAATGATGTAGTTTAACGTGTTCCTTTATCCTCTATATTTCCTGTAAATTGGAATCCTGTAAGTTGTCTTTAGACCTTGTCAGATTCAGGTTTGATTTTTGGTTTTGTTTTTTCTCCTGGTGGTGTGACAAATTTCTTTTATAGGTTCTTGAGTATTGTTAAATATTTAATTTACATATGTATACACACATAAATATATTTAGACTACTTTGAAGAAATAAATATATTGGGAAAAATTAAGCTTTACTTTATAGCAGTGTTTAATGTATTAAATATTGTTATTTATTCTAAGACTAATAGAGGAACAGTTATTTTTTAAGATAAAATTGAATGTAGTAAGAATGTTCCTAATGCCAGCAGCTAACCAGAAAAGTCCTGTCAGTTGATTCACTGGCCTTTTTAAACCAATGTATCATGAACTACTAACACAAGTCTTGAATAGGCCACATAATTTTGCTTTTTTTTTTTTGAGTTGGACTCTCACTCTGTCGCCCAGACTGGAGTGCAGTGGCCGCTCCCGGCCACCACAGCCTCGACCCGATGGGCTCCGGTGATCCTTCCGCCTCAGCCTTCCAAGTAGCCGGAGTTACAGGCATGGGCTACCACGCCCGGCTGATTTTTTGATTTATTGTAGAGATGAGGTCTCGCCAAGTTGCCCAGGCGGGTCTTGAACCAGCGGGCTCAGGCAATCCACTCACCTCAGCCTCCCAAAGGCGCGGGATTACAGGCTGAGCCACAGAGCCCGGCTATAATTTTTTTTAATGGTGTCATGACGGCAGGGGATAGTGGGGGAGTCAGGTTATTTCATAGGTATTTTCACTTAGTAGGATGATCACATAAGGTTGCCTGTTCCAAGATTCTCAGCACGCCCTTTAGATTGAATGCCCTTTAAAAAAATTACATTAACATGTTTTTTAATTTCCTCTTCTAAAATGAACTAAAACAAATTCAGACACCACCTTAACTTACCACTTAACACTGTCAAATTATTTCTGAAGCTAGATGGCATCTGTTGAATTAGGAGAACTTTGGCATCTCTCTTCATTATTATGTGTTTTTACATAGATATGAACTTTTAATCTTTGTGTTATACTAAATACATAAATTTTAAAAGAAAGGAAAAAATACTACTGCTTAGATTTGCTAACATAACAGCTGTTATTACTTTAATAAAGGCTGTTATTTTATCTTTGGAAGTGTTAGACATAAAATCAGCTGGTTTTAGGCACTCAGTTATGATTTAATTCCAAATGGAAAAAACATTGTCTATATAAATACTTTTCCAGGTAACATTAGGATGAAGTACCCTGAAATGCCACATTTCTTCCTAAGTATTGTAATTGAATACAACCTGTTATAAGCAGTAAACTGAAGCAAAAGGAAATTACTAGGTTCAGTAGTTTTTGAAATCATAAGCCCAAAGTTCATTCTCCCTGCTGCTTTGAGATATAAAGCCTCTCTTCACAAAAGGCTCTCTTCACAAAATCATCATACACATGCATTCACATGTATGATGATGTGATTCTCACGGTGACTGTTGTATTTTATAGTTTTGCCAACTATTATAAGTCCTCATTTAATGTCATCCATAGGTTCTTGGAAACTGTGACTTTAAGCAAAAGGGTGTTTAATGAAATCAATTTTACTGTAGGCTAATTGATTAAATAAGTTCAGTTCCTTCAGCATATTTCTGATCACAAAAACATCACAAATTTCTAAATAAAGAAGACATTTAGAATACTTCTGATATTAAAAATTGAAATAAACATGAGCCATACATATGTTTAAGGAATATTAATAAAAAACAAGCAAGATAATTTTTTATCCAACTATTCCAAATTAACAGTGGTGGAAGCCTCTCCCGGCGACTCAGGATACAAGGTGGGAGCCAACCCTGGACAGGGAGCCTTCCTCTTGCAGTGTGCACTTGCACACACCCACACTCACACTGAGACCGGGGAGACACACCAGTGGACCTGACTGGCACACTTTGGCACACTTTGGGGTGTGGAAGGAAACCAGAGCACCCAGACAAAACCCCCACAGACATGGTCCACCAAGTAGCCCCAACAGGGAATTGATTTGCTTTCCTCTCATCAGTATAATAAAGAAATGTTGAACAAAACAATGTTATTCCAGGACCTGCTATACTTCTGCTTACATACTTATTACTTCTAAAAGGAATGTAGGCCTTATGTTAATTCTCAAAGAGAGTAATGTTGCTACTTTAGGTTTTAAGAATGTAGCATTTCAGTGCACCAACATACTCTTTTTATGATTTGAAGCTCTAAAGAAACTTTCTAGGTTCTCATAATGAACTTGATAATCATTTTCTTTTTTGAACTCTTCCCCTCACAGCAAAAATAAAAATTTTAGAGAAAGCTCAATGTGCAAAATGTTCCCACTAATATTTGAATAAGAAAAGACTTTTGTGCAATTAAGTGTAAGTTAAAGTGTAGATCACTACTTAGGTTAAAATCACTGATCTAGATGTTTCTATCAGTTTACTTATTTACAAAACTTGAAAATTAAAACATTTTCAGTGAAATATTTAGTTCTGTTCCCCTACAAACTTGGGAAGATATTTCATGTCTGTTAAATTATTCTGTGATGGTTCTAGTATCATCTATATTCTTATGTCAAGTAAGAATATCTGAATTTTTAAGAATTTACTTTTTAAAACTTTGTTTTCAAGTTCTAAGCATTTTGAGGTATATATTTAGTTTTGGAAAAATATCACCTATGCTAGTAAGAAAGAAGTAAATTCTAGAAACCAGAAGTTGTTGGCTACTTCAGTATCCCCTTAAATATTGATTCCTAAATATTCTCATTCCCTATTTCCTCCCTAATGTCATCAATCTGTTCCTCGGTCTCTCTTGGTCATCTCCATTGCTGGCACCTAAACTGTTTGAGTTTTGTTTTGTTTTTGAGTTGGGGTCTTACTCTGTTGCCCAGGCTGGAGTACAGTTGCACAATCATAGCTCACTGCAGCCTCAGCCTCCTGGCCTCAAGCGATCCTTCAACCTCAGCCCTACCTAGTAGCTAGGACTGCCGGTGTGGACCACCATGCCTGGCTAACTTTTGTTTATTTAATTGTAGAGGCAAGGTTTTGCTATGTTGCCCAAGCTGGTATTGAATCCTGGCCTCAAGGTATCCTCCCCCCTCAGCCTCCCAAAGTGCTGGAATTACAGGCATGATCTCCGCGCCCAACCCATTTGAGTTTTAAGTGGTGCCAACCTAGGGCTTCCTTGGCAGAGATTCTACATCAGCTTGGAGTAGCAACCCTGGAAGTTACCATCCCAAAAGCTAATTAGACCTTGTCAGATCTAAAACAAACAAAAATACCCTTGAGGTTCAAGTTCCTATGGATGGTAGCTGCCTAAATACATAGGATACCCCAGGTTCCCTGGTGCCTTAGTTCTAGGAGATAACTTAGAGCCGTGTCAGCTCAGGGCCACTGCTGAAAAGAGAATGCTAAAGCAGTCCACGTCTATCCTGAACTTAAGAGGGCTGGGCTGAGCCTAAGAGTTTTAAGATTCTGCTGGTATTGAGCACCATTTGTCACGCTACATTAGGCTCCCTGTGAGTCTGTACTCTTCATTTTCTTTCCCTTCCTTTACCATGTAGCCATCCTGTCTCCAAAGCCTGTTTTTGTTTGATGTGTGTATCTTGCTTCTATCCATTGTGATGCAGTTCCTACAGCCAAGTGTCTCATCATTTCTATCTAGCAACCTGTTTCTCCCTCAGCGTCACATTTTACACTCAGTCTTTTATGCCTCTTCCAAAGTAATTTTTTTCCACCAGCTAATTCAGTGCTGTCAGTTTTCATCAAAAGTCTTTCATGGTGGGCTATTACCATCTGTGGTGCTCAAAATTTCATGACCATTCATCAGGCTGGCCTACATGACACGGTCCATCCATCCGACACAATCAGTCAGCATGATACAGCAGATGTTGCCAAGCTGACTTACACCTTCCTTCAGCCAGGTTTTCCCTCCCACTTTTGCATCTGCCCCTTGTTCTCTTGTCAAAATTCCTCTCCCCAAATCTTACAGGATTCTCCCCCAAGACTTCTAGTGATGCTGACTTTCATGTTCAGTGCTACTTACTATACTGCAGCCTATCAGTGCATTATAATATTAAAACTTTTTCATTTATTCTGGTTTTAATTTAAGTTATTGTCTTATATATTTTACATTTTAACTTGTATGTCAGTTTCTCTGTTATTATTCAGGATATATACTTTATGTTTCCTGGTATACTATAGGTATTTAGTAAATACCCACCTAGGGCTAGATACCTAATTTGTTCTGTGCATTGTACCTTTCTTTTGCCTACTTTTAAATAGTGTGTGAAGTTTGAAAATGTAATTACTGAGTATTTTGTGGTTTTTTTTAGTAATGTGTATGTATATATGTATATGCTTTACAAGAGGTAGCATAACATAAAAAGATTGCCATTTTGGTCACTGACTATGGAACTTTATATAAATTATTTAACCTGCCTAAGCCTCACTTTTCAAATATGTAAAGTGGGGATGATAAAATCTTTCCTAGAGAGTTATAAAGACAAGGGAAAGTATGTATTCAGAGTGCCTAGTACAGTCACTGACCAATAGTAGATGCTTCAGAAATTGTCCTTTTTTTTTGTTAATTTAGATGCTGTGTCTTAATGGGGAAAAAGCGGAAATAGTTTTTACACTGACACTGGACTACATTAAAATCTTTTTCTATCTCTAGATTGAATATATTTCAGGAAAAGTTTTTTTCACCACCTGCTCTGATTTAAATATGCTGAAGAAATTAAAATCTGCAGAAAGATTATTTTTGCTGATTAAAAAGCAGTTTCCACTTTCTGTTTCTTCTGTAAGTAAAGGTATGGTGTCTCTCTGTTGCTTTTACCACATGATATATTGAGCTTCAAAGTTTTCTGCTGATGACTAATATGTAGCCATTTCACACTTTAAAATTCATTCATATATGTGGGATCTTTAATTCTGTATTTTTCTGTGTTTCCTGAGTATTATCCCTTGATTGTAGCAGGATCTCTCTTTTCTCTGCAACCTGCTGCTTTTCTTAATGAGATTTTAATGTCCTAAACCACGTTACTTCTTTGAAAATTTTGATCAGGTACTTTCTCTAGAGAGATAAATGGTCAATTGTATTTGTTTGGATTTAGAAACATGTAATAACTCAATGCATTATTTTAGTAGTAAATTAGTAAAAAAAAAAAAGTTATTTTGTACATTTTGACCAAGTGATAAAATTGAAAAAAATACTGCATAGTAAAATGTTCTATTTCTGAGATCTTTTTTTAATTTAATTTTTTAAAGATGTGGGGTATAATTCAGAGTTAGGTATCCGAATGTTCATTGTGCATGTACCATTATTGATGAGGTGTGCTCCCCTCCCCCAACAGATTCCCACTACTGCCAATCCTGCCCCACTCTCCCCTCCCTTTTCCTATAGTATTATGATAATTGTTCAAGGTCTGTTTATAAGTGAGAACATGTGGTACTCAGTTCTTTGTTTCTATGATAGGTCACTCAGTATTATAGATTCTAAGTCCATCCAGGTTGCTGTGAAGTTCATCATTTTGTACTTCTTTATGACTGTGTAATATTCCATCATGTATATGTACCACATTTTTTGTATCCAGTTCTCTTTCAATGGGCAGCACAATTTGTTCCATGTTTTTTGCTATTGTGAACAATGCTACAATAAACATACGTGTGAAGGTGTGTTTTTCATAGAGTGATCTGAGATCTTAGTGTTTTCAATGTTCATTTATCAAGCAGTAGAGCTAGAGAGGGTATAATAGGTTTCTTGTCTATCCCCTAACTTTATAAATATGCTTCTAATGAAATGGAAAGATCTTGATAAAAGCAGTGAAAAAGGCCGGGCTCAGTGGCTCAGCCTGCAATCCTGCGCCTTTGGGAGGCTGAGGTCAGTGGATTGCCTGAGCCTGCGGGTTCGAGACCCGCCTGGGCAGCGAGACCTCATCTCTACAATAAATCAAAAAATCAGCCGGGCGTGGTAGCACATGCCTATAATTCCGGCTACTCCGAAGGCTGAGGCGGAAGGATCGCCGGAGCCCAGCAGGTCGAGGCTGCGGTGGCTGGGAGCGGCCACTGCACTCCAGTATGGGCGACAGAGTGAGACTCCAACTCAAAAAAAAAAAGCAGCGAAAAAGGGTTGGACATTGCAGGATTAAACATTGCCTTAAGATTCACTTTGATTGCTGATTGTGCACTAGAGCTCATGTAATTATGCAATCCGTAATAAACTATTTTGAGAAAGATACAAATGGCAAGAAATCAGGATCAAGCAGAAAAAATTGTTTTAAATCCTATCCTAAGATATTTTACTGTGGGGTCAATATAATTCCTTCCGGTATTCTGTATACTTTCATCTTTAGGGAATGACAGTAATAATTTTTGGGTCATCTTGATAACCCTTGTTCTTTAAAAATGATCTTAGTTTGCTGAGCCTGCTGCCAGTTCCTAAATAATGTGTATCTGAAGTGTGACTTTATGGAAACTCATTTTAAGATACATACTGATATTGTATGCTCTAAAATATGATAGGCTTAAGATTCAACTCCTTTGTTTCTGAACTCTGAGTTTTGCAGTTTTTTTTAAACCTTCATATTTGTAGTCAAGATCACCATTATTTCAAAGATTGATATCACTCTAGGTCTGTGCGTATATTGAAGGATATATGTATTGTCATGGAACAAATGATCATGCTAAAGTATCGTACAGTAATCCTATAGAAATTTTAACACAGTTTTGATGTCTTATATGCAATAGTAGAGTGAACTTTATTCTGCAAACATTCTTATGATAAATGGGATATAAATTCCAAATTAAAGTGAAATTATTCATAGAGCAATTTAATACAACTTGTTTTAAAGAAAAAGCGTGATGGAATTTGGGAATCATGAATGTAATAGGTGGTCTTTAAAACTTCAAATTGGATAAACTGAGATTTTATTTACTTAGGAAAATTATTTAATGAAATGCAAAGATTTGTAAATGATGATCCTGAAAGTTGGTTGAATGCCATTTCAATTTGGAAAAAGCTTCTTGAACTTGATGCAAAAAAGGAAAGACTGTCTCAAAGAGATGCTGACCCACTAAAAAGAAAAGTGGGAGAAAATGAAATCATCGTTGCTAAGAAATTAAAAATAGAACAAACGCAAAAGATAGAAGAGAACAAGGTCTGCCAGCTGGACAAACAAATAGAAGAAGAAACTCAGGAGCAAAGAGATTTTATCACTAAAAGAGAAAAACTTCAGGGAGAAGAACCTCGGGAGGATGTAGAGAAGACAACTGATACTTCTCACCAGCACGACGTAACTTTCAGGGTTTCATGTCGCTGTAGTGGAGCAGTTGGAAAGGCCTTCACTGCACAGGTATGCTTCCCTCCCAAAGTGGGGTATCCTTTTCTAAAAGAAGTGATTCCTCTTTGAGTTTAAAATGAGATGCAAACCCTTCACAGAACAAATAACTAGGCCCAGACAATTAGGCCTAAATGCATATAAGCACATATCTTTAGAAATGCGTTTTCCTTTTTAATATCACCTCACATGCTTAAGAGGTATGGTATGCTGTTGCATGTAATGACTTTCTTTTTTTTTTGCCTAAAATTTCCTTAAACTCACAGAGGTCACTGCCTTTGGAAATCCTGATAACATAGTCCTGAGCTTTTGGTCTGGGCTTAATGAGTAGCCACTCTGTACCTAGGCCCTGTATATGGGATTGCCACTGGGACCTAGACTACGGATACACAGATGCACATGAGGTCTCAACAACTAGGGAAGAATGAGCACCACAGTTTCCATCACAAAACCTTATCAGTTGTCCTTACAGAATTCAGTGATCTAAAGGGTATTGGTTGGGTCCTGTAGTCAACCTTAAAATCAGACAAACCTTAAAGACTGAGTCTGAGCTGGGCTCGGTGGCTCAGCCTGTAATCCTGCGCCTTTGGGAGGTTGAGGTGAGTGGATTGCCTGAGCCCGCGGGTTCGAGACCCACCT